CAATTGATATTCGTTCACCATTTTTATTCCCTCAATTTGCAAAAGTTTAAGGAAAAAATGATTAAAGTTTTACGAGTCGTATAATTTTTAATAATCACATGATTTGCGCAAAATCGAAAAAATCATTTAGGCCAACATTTTAATTTACCATTAAAAATGGCTTATATTATTTTTTTCGTTAGATTCGCGCAAATTGCGCGAGATAATTTTTATGCAATTTTTGATATTTAGGACACAGCCTAAAGAATTGAGGCTATTAAATTTCTAAATCATGATACTCAAAGAGCATAGCTAAAAATTATAATATTTCTAAATTAACTCTTTGTCATTGATTAGAGACATCATCGACCGCCATGCAAATAAAACATATTGTACCAAATAAAGATGAGATTATTTTATTTCATAAGGCTGTGTCCTAAATATCAAAAATTCCATAAAAATTATCTCGCGCAATTTGCCCGAATCTAACGTAAAAAATAATATAAGCCATTTTTAATGGAATATTAAAATGTTGGCCTAAATGATTTTTTCGATTTTGCGCAAATTGCGTGATTATTAAAAATTATACGATTCATAAAACTTTAATCATTTTTTCCTTTTTTGCGAATTGAGAGAATAAAAATGGCTAACAAATTTCAATTGATGGAAACTATAAGACCTTATAGATATTTGTGGTGTATTAATGACCTTAAATACAGAGACACCGCTGGTAGCAAAATCAAATGGGAGAAGATTGGTAAGAGATATGATCTTACTTATAGAAATAAAAAAAAATTTTGCTAAAATCAGGTATAATTATAAATATATATAAATATTATTTATATTTTAGGTTAAGGTGCTAATATTTTGAATAGCAAGCAACTCAAATTTATTGAGGATTATTATTGGCTAAAAGAAAATATTGAAGATATTTGTAAGCATTCTGAAGCTAGTTTCAGTTTGAAACTATCTAAGGATTCTATTTAATGAAAAAATATCTCCACATGTATTATAACATGAAATTAGAACTATATAATAATCTATATTTTAGGATTATGACCAATCATTCAAGATGTGCTGAATATTCAAACATCATCACAGGCATTATAACATGAAATTAGATCTATATAATAAACTATATTTTAGAATGATGAACCAAATGCACAATATATCTTAAATGATATAGTTAATTCATTTAGTCCTATAGACATGAATATGTCTGAGAATGAAATATAAGAAGTTGAATATTTATTATATATTTTAATAATTTAATAATAGTTAGACAATTCAAATAAAGAAAATATTTCTCATTGTACCTCTAAGAAGAAAAATTTGGAAAATTTTAAATCTAAAAGAATAAACAAAATTAAAAAATATGATACTGAAAAGATTGATATATTTAGAGATAAATATTGATTATATTTAATAATTATTTATTTTTGAAATAGATTTTGCAAAAAAGTATCATATGATGATATTCATCATGTTCAGGGATTTTTTAAATCCTTCCAAACAACTTTTAATCGTATAGAAAGAGAAATGGAAATGAAATTTTCAGAATTTATATCTATTTATATGTAATAATTTATACATATTATATTCTTATATCTTAATTTTTAATACCATATTTATAATATGTTTAACATATTTTGTATATTTTTATATTTAATGTTAAAAAGTGTAAATTTATTCATTCTCATTAAATTAATTACAAATATCTTACTTATACAATATAATCAAAACAACGCTTTTTATTGCATTTTTTATTGAATATTTATAAAAAAATTATATAAATTTGACAAATAAAAACATGATTTCCCTCAAGATCAATTATAATTTTGTGCAATAGGCAGTCAGCCTTAACTATTTGTATAGTATTGGTAATATTTATTTCTGATGGTTTATAAAGCTGTCTGAATTTGGCACTCATGATGCCAAAGCATCTCTATAGATACTCTGGCTTTTGATAATTTTGTATTAATATTTAATTTATTATCATTCAAATTTGTTTTATAAGGTTTCATAATAAAATCCATTAAAGGATATGCATCAATCATCACCTACAAATACGTAAAGTGATAATATATCTGTTGAGGGTAAAAAATTTGGATTGGGAATCTTTATGATTTTTCTGATCATCCCTTCATAAAATAGGCTTTTAGAAAATATACTTCTATCTGATATAGATCCAGGACCCAACTTCTATCAACATGAATCTAGAAAAGAATTAAAATTTAGAAAATATATAAATACCTAGCTTTATCATCTGAAATACCTTGAATCACAATGGAATTGAATTTTTATAATTATAAAATGTGGATCCACTTTTTTTTAGGTTGTTTTATTTTGACATGTTTTCCATCAATAGCACCTATTATATGAGGACCTGATTTCCTGAAGTATCCTGCTGATATTTCAAGCATCTGTTGAACTGTTGGTAAACAGAGATTGGGCTCTAGACCTGCCCATAATAACCTACATGTTGCTGTGACAATTGTGCCTACTGATGTTTTTCCTATCTTTGCATATAATGCTATTTTTCTAAAGCTCATACCAGTTGTCAAATATCTAAAATATATACAGATTATAAAAAAAAAATTATCATACATGAGTGTTATATATAGTCGATGCTTCATACTAATAGAGTTTTTGTATAACTATAGCTGTGTCTATAGACTCCAAATTCATAAGAATGTAGTTGAATGTTTCCACATGCATGTGATGTGGAACATCTGACGAAATTTGTCAGGATAAGATGGAAAACTATCAAATATTTTAAAAAGTCCTTGATCTCTAGAAATAATACATATAATATAAATAATATCATATATACCGGCCTTCTAAAAATCTATGCCTTCTTCTACGCTCAGTCGTATCAACAAATAATATAAAAAATAGAAATAGTAAATCATTCACATCAAACATTTTAAAATTGAAAATAAATGTATGCGGGACATATTTCGTATCTCGCAAATCTCCCGAAAGTCTTGCGATTCGCAAAATTTTTGAGAATTTTTTTTTTGATTTAGGACACAGCCTCGATTAATTTTTATTCTTATTTCATATATACAACTATTTATAATAATTTTATATATGTGTACCTTCTTATTATTGTATAAAAAGTTTATGTATATGTTTAGCGTCAATGTCTTATTTTTTTGAACCCGTTTTTTTTTAATTTAAAAGAATCTGATTTTACGTGAAATGTATTCCAGCATTTTTAGAATACCTATCTTATGAATTGTAGACAATTTTGCCCGTTATCCTTTGAGTCATTTAGAATTTATACAAAAAATCTGTGGGGAAACAACGAAATTTTCTGAAATTCGTAAGGGTAGGTATTCCAAGTATGGTAATACATTTCCAGTATCATATTTTAAAACTGGAAAAAAACGCGCTCAAAAATTGATTTAAAGTTGAAATAAATAACGCATTTTTACTCGTAAGTTTGATCAATTCAAAAATAAAAAATATTATTTAAAAATGATTGAAAATAATTTCACATTTTTGTTAAACTATAGATATACTTATAACAGATGGTAAAATATTTTTTTTTAAAATGTAAAAAATCTTGATAAATTGGGCACCTGTCGAAATTGCGCAATAATCCTTTTCCCCATGGTAAACCAAATTAGACAGGTTATACTGTATATAAGATAGACACTAAAAATGATACATGGTTATTTTAATTTGTGTCTTGTAATATATTATTTTAAAAAGCTTGAATATTTTTATAGCTAGAATATTAGTTATTCGAAGATCAGATGACTGTGATTTGAATATTTCGATTTAATAAGTTGAAGTTCTCACGAATCATATATGCTTTAAAAAAATATATGCCGCAACATTCTATAAGCCTCCAGTATAGATTTTTGAACCGAACCTGAACCTTTGTTAATTTTAATTTCCTGAACCGAACCTAAACCTTTATATCAAAAAAGGGGGTTCGACGATACTCTGATTTATTTCTTATTCTTCCCACCACGTCCTTAGGATGAAAAAAAAAAATTATATGTAAAATTAAATCGTTTCGCTTTTGAAATCCTCTTTATTTTTTTTTTAAAAAAATTTCTGAATATTTTTTATTTGCATAAATTATAAAGCGATTTTTCTATTTACCTCGCGTGTTTGTCTGGTGGAGATAAATTTAGTTAATTTAACGTTTTTTTAAAAAAATGGAATAAGAAAAATCATTATACTATATTATTTTAATGTACAATGATCACGAAATAATGATTTCCTTTTTTGAAAATACAAAAAAAAACGATAAAATTTGTCCTTTCTTTTGATGTTCATTTTTTTGGTTATTTTTTTTTATCCCACAAATTTTACTAGTGGAGGATTTTAAAATGGAAATTAGAAATCAGAGATAATAAACTGATATCGATACCAAGCTGATGATATCTTAATTAACCGCTTGACTGATTTCGCAAACTTTTTAATTCTTACATTAAAAATAAATCCTAAAATTAGATTGAGATTATTCTCTAGAGAGAAAAAAAAATTATCCTAGTTAAAATTTTGTTTTCGCCATTTCCCGGATAAGAAGGAGTTTGGAAAAAAAATTGAAGATTATACGTAAAATTACAAAAGGTTTAGCATTTTTTAGGTGAAATTTAATCAATCTTTATTCTTCCATGCTCAATAATTTTTTTTAGAGATCTTTTTTATCTCTGCAAAGAAGTAGTGAAATGATTTATCAATATAAATTAGTTTCAGTAATTTTTGATTGGCTCTTTAAGTAAATGATATAATTCTTAAATAGCGAATGGTCGTGATTTCGGCCAGTGGCATCGATAATTGAATATATCGACTTTGTATCAGTATTTGAAAGGTAAGACAGTATTCGAGGGATGGATATTCGCGAAAATCGCGAGTAGAACTTAAAAAGAAAGCAGCATTTGATTCAAATTCATTGATAAATTGAGAATACGACAAAAATATTTATTACTATACTATATATTAGGCTAAAACGCAATCTATTATATGTACAATTTAAAAAAATATATATATATCTCTAGGTGTCAAGCACAAAAAGAAAGAAAAGGCTAAAAAATTAGCCGACGCAGTTAAGTCCGAATATGCAGATGCTCCAGCCAAGACAGAAGTTATGACTTCATCTACTGCTGACACTACCGACTCTATAAATACCAACAATGGAAACATTAAAGTAGCCGATGTCGTGAATGCTCAAAAAAAGACCGGTAAAAATACTAAAAGGAAATCGGGAAATTGGCAAGAATACAAAAATAATAAAAAGGCCAAGAAAGCGGCGGCTATAATTGCTATGGCTGTGCCGACTAATATCTTGCTTAATGCTAGCACCATCTCAGATTCAGACATAGTGGGTGATCAAAGCATGCTAAGTATTGTCGAGCCAAATTCTGAGGCAGAATTAGATAGCAAAGAGCAAAAAACCGAGAATGAAGAAACTGCTGCAGATGATCCGCTAAAATCCATAGACAGCAAGAAAATGATGCAAATAAATAGCATTTTCAATGCACAATTGTATCAAAACGTTCAGCAACAACCCTGTTTTTACAATAGAGCAGGAAGATTTTTCCAATGTGCTGTTTGTGGAATCAGGGTTAATTCCAGTGTTCAAATGGATCAAGTAAATTATTTTATTTATTTTTTTCTTCTCTTTCAAAATAAGGGTCAATCTTTTTAACATGAAGTAACTAGAAAAACGAATCTCCTTATACCAAAAAAATGGTTGCTCATAAAGCTTTCAGATTATCGAGATTGGAGGTTTGTATCAAATCATTAAGTTTAACATTTCCATACCACTCTGTTACACCTTTGACCATTGTTTTTATTAGATAAACTAAATTTTTTGTGAGTAATATAAGGGGAGAAGTGGGTGGGTGAATTATCCAACAACCAGAATGTTTTCTTTGGGTTCCAAATCATACTCTACTCATCGAATACAGGAGTGTGGGTAATGGTTCAGCAGTTTAAAGTTAAAAGTTGCAATTTCAGTTTTAGAAAAAATTATAAAGGTATTTTCGGGTGGAATATTTTTCTTAAATCAAAGAATAAAAATAATATTAGGAAGAAGGTTCATTAGGGTTGAAACTTTTTAATGATTAATAATATAAATTTGCCTACGATTTCTTACAAACTAAGTGGATTGATTTATATTTCTTTATATAAAATTAAAATCCCCCCTTCAATGAAACTAAAATAAAATTCGAAAAAAAAGAATGAATATCAACAATTTAAGATTTAAATATTACCTATCTTTCTCCAAGGTTTTAAAAAGTTTTAAAAACTTATTAGTGATTTGATATAATGGTTTGGTTACGATTAAGGTTCATAAAGTTACACATGTACATTTCAGCATAACGGTTCGGTTCATGCAGGGATCCCTGCTATTTAGAACAATTTATATTTTATTCTTCCTAGATTTAAAACTAAGTATATTCTTTATATAATATAGCACATTATTAGCAAAAAGCACAAAAGTAAAATGGCGTTGGTCGCTAGGCAGATGAGACCCATGGTAAATTTTTATAATACTATTTTTTCTGAAGAGTACTTCCTATAATTATTTGCTTCTCATTGTGATTTCTTGTAGAAATTTCGCTGGTTTTTATCATTATTATTTAACTAATATTTTTTAATTAAGCAAAATTCTTATTTTTTACCGTTAATTTTTATATCCCGTTCTAAATCCTAGTGTAAGAATGTAATTAATTGGTTGACAGTTTATTGTGGAAATTATATGTAAGTATAAATTTAATAGTGTGATTCAAATTGTAAGTGAAGTTGAAGGAAGTAAGGTAAAAAGAAAGAAGGAATAGGAAATTTTTATTCTTAGAATTATTCAAATGTTATATGGATGAACTTACATAAGTAGAAAATTTCCAATGATGAGGAAAAGCTGGATATTTTGAAACTTAGGCAAGCGCCAAACAACTAGAGTGCTCGAAGGAGGTAACATAGTCGACGGCCGAATATGGAGCAGCAGATGTGCAAACTGCCAGGAGTCGAGTATGTGCGCATTATATTTAGAGAAAGGGGTCATTTGAGGAGCCTAGGGTAAACCAAGAATGGAGGAAGAGAGAGAGGACAACAAATCGAACTGTGGCAAAGATCACGAGGTCATGGGATAACGTGACGCCTAAGGTAGACGGGACATTGCATGAGCCGACTCCAGCTGGATTAGGAAAAGAGCTGGTGGATAAGAAGGAAGATGGTACAAGAAACGACCCAGCACTAGATCCGACGGTTGAAACTGGTATGTGCAACCCCATTAGGATTGTGCAGAGACATGGAAGAGTGGAGTGGAAAGCCCGATTGAGACGGGAGAAGATGAATATGCGAGGAGCTTGGGAACTTGTTAGATTAGTTACTGTCTGATCCGAAAAGGATAAAAGTAGTTTTTTTTAATTGGAGCTGTACTACATCATCACGTTCTCCCATGACTTCTGGATCCCCGCCACCATCTAATTTGTTGTTTTCTGTTCCTCCATTCTCGGGTTTCCCTAGGGCATAATTCCTCAGAAGACCCCTTTCTCCGCATCAAAGCACAGGCCTCGACTCCCGGTAATCTGCATATCTATGTCTACTATATTCCCTCCTTCGAGCACCCCAGTTGTTTTACATTTGCCTAGGTTCCATGATGAAATGCATTTCCACACATTCAAAGATGAATGAGAAAAATAAATATTCTAAATTATAATATATTCAACAATTATTTATATTGTTTTTCAGCAGATGAATGCTCGAAATGCCAAACCTCCGATTCCCCTTTTTCCTAGAGAGATAATTTATACTTAATTCAAACAATTTCCTATGGAAATCATACAGACTTGAATATCTTGGCATACCCCTTGTATTAATTTGTAAAAATTCTTTTCTCTTTTTTTTAATAGGCTTTTCTTATATTTATAATCTGGCGGCCATAGTTTTAAACGATGGGTTTGTATATAAGGTGTCAACCTTCTAAGATTCTCTATAGTTACTGGAGAGAAATTTCTCATATCATTAGTTTATAATGTTCAATATACATCTTTGTAAATAATTCCTTAATCCTATACATATATTTTTCTATGATATTTTATCGTTTTACACCAAAACATTATTTTATTGTATTATTATTAAAATAATTTTTTTTTACCTATTTCGATTTTATATTTCTAATTTCAAATGAGTGTATGAGAAATTTCTTTATTGCGATTAAATTATTTTTATCAAAATATGTAGTTACATTTTTTTAAATAAAAATAATATTTAGATTTGATCGGATGAATTTTATTATATTATATATTTTGACATTTAAAAAAAAACTTGTTTAAAACGGATTTGTAAGTTAAATCCTGCATTATTTTAACTGTTTATATATATATTACATGGTTAGCTAGTTTTTATACTAAATATTGATGACTATTATGTAATAAAATAAATACATTGTAAATATTAACATATTTTGAACATTATTTTTTGAAAAAATTCTTGATAATTATAGAATATAAATAATTATAATAAAAGTTATCTCAACTGCAAACATTGTTTTCATTTTCTTTTTTTATATTTCAGATATATCAAATAAAGTCAAAATTATCATTTTCACACTCACCCTCCTCAGGAGGCTAGTAAAATGAGTGCCTTGAAAACAAAATATGAGAACATTTTCAAATATATAATTAAGACTCCTTTAATTTATGAATGTTATAAACAGTTTAGAAATAGAACCAAATTTTACATGAAGAAAAGTTTATTAAAAACACCCCCCCCCCTCCACTTTCCGTATATCTCATTAGGATTATTTCATGCATAAGAATATTGAAAGTCTGTATTGCCAGGAATTGATATGTAGAATGAAAATTGTTAAATGGGAAAAATTAGCTTGTAGAATGAGTATTAAGTTGTAGGGATTTAGCTCAATTTAAATATATGGATAAGAATTAATCAAGTGAAATTGTATATTTATTCTATTAAAATAGTATAAAACTAAAAAATACAATCTAATTAAATTTTCTCATGTATTATCTTTTTTTTATAAAATGTAAATCAATACGGTTATAAAACATAGCTACAAACTCATTTAACAATTTAAAAGTAATATAAATTGCTTCTTTAAATACAATAATAAAAAGAAGAGTTTATGTAGTACACTATTTGTTACTAATATGTAACAAAGAATAAAGGGATAACATGGCTCAAAAGGCGGACCATGAAAAGGATTTTTAAGTTTGTCCAGTCAAGCTGCAAAATACTTTAACAAGCTGGGCCAGAATTTTGAAAGTGTTTTTTAAGCTAATCTCGGAGTTTTCCTTTATAAAAATTACAGGCTCGACCTAAATTTTCGAAAATTTCCATTGGCAGCGTTGTCCTTTGAAGATTAACAAATAAACAGTGTTAACATAAATGTTATTACCTGGTTGTAATGTTACTAATCATAATCCTAACTTCCCAGCATGTATTGAAATAAAACTTTAAAAAAAGATTACTTGCGATATTGAATGATTTGATTCAATTCAGAACTACAATCGAAATATATATGTTAATAAATAAGTACCAATTATTTTATGCATAAGCTATAAGTATGTTTAATAAAATTTTACCTTACCCTCCCCCCTCCTTTAGTTGCCTCTCCAATCATGTTGACGTCACCTGAAACCCTAAGAGTTAATAAAATTCAGAAATACCTTAAGTACTACCAAGATTTACGGTAAGTCGTGTTTTTATAAACACGAATAAATTTACTAGCGTTATTTTTTTTTGTCTTAAAACCAGAATACTTTTTTTCTTCTTTAGTGGATAAAACTAAGCAATATTGTTTATATGAGTAAAAAATCGAAAAATAATTAAAGTAATATAAATTTTAATAAAAATACTTTTATGTAAATGATATTTTTATCTTATAATTAATAAGTCAATAATTTATTTTTTTCGACTCTAAATAATCTAAGCTCTTAACTTTTAACAAAAATCATTATTTTTAATCAAAAACCTAGAAGGTAATGTAAATCAATAATGCGAATTTTTTAAAATAAATGAATTTGCAGCATGATTAACATAACATAGGGTTACGATTTCGCTTAGATCATATAGGAGAGAGATTTTAAAAATTCTTACTTTTTGGCCAAAATTTAGATGTTTAGACATTTTTTTAAGAAAAATAGTTTTAGATATTTTCAGGGTTGTGTATTAGATCGGTCAATCGACCGATATTTGATCGGTCAATGAATGTTTTTTACATTAACTTTATTTTGTATATATATGATAATAATGAATCTATGCAATATTAAATTTCATAATATTTTTTAATGTCATTCCCTAGTTAATGTTTCGCCTCTGTGGCATGGTCTAGTTCCTATTCATATGTAATTTATTTACTTTAATATTTTTAATCAATCTTAAGTTATGATGTACTCTTATTAATTATCCTGTGGTAGAGGTCTTCAATCGATTTCTGTTCTTCGTGTGAATATTGCCCAAAACAACCAATTTCTTTCTGAAGAAGAGAACTTGGAAATGTTTAATATTATTAGCTACTTCTATTAAAGAAGAGCTGGGCAAAGCGCAAATCTGATTGTTTCTTATGAAATTTACCACTTTTCACATATTTTGGCTATTAAATATGCCCCCTTTACTTCTGATATTTTTTATATGACTTAAAATATTTTGATTATCACCACCATGTAAAATACCTAATTCTTCTATTGTATTACATGCTTCATCAAAGCTCCCCTTGATATTGGGGATTCAATAGATAAACAGCATGTATTTAAATCATTTTTTCTCTTTTCAAAGAGAAAATATAGAATCATGACAAGATTGTATTATTTTTCCAAATTAAACATCTGATTTATTATGTTGGGCCAAAGTACATTTATTTCTTTGCATTTTAATGCGGTATCTAAAGGTTGGATTATAGCAAAAAATTTTAAATTCATCTAAAATATTTCTTTATTTAATATATTTTTGGTAATTTCTAGAACAAGCTTCTTTAACAGCTGATGCTTTCTTACATATTTGTATTTGATCCATACATGACGATGCCCATCTTATTGTTCTTAATGCAGATAGTATGTCTCATGTTGATTCTTATTACGGGAAAATACTTCAGCTGATAACTGTTTATTGAAAAATTTAACAATATTTTTAATTATATATGGAAACTGAAGACATTCAATCTTTCAAAATCATGAAGAATAGCTGCAATATGTGTGCTGCACAACCATAACATTGTACATAATTAAAATAGATTCAGATTTAAGAATCCTCCAGGCAGCTTTCATTTTCGCTGCATTATCGTTAAATTAAGAATATAATTTTACCAGATGCAATTCATGAATTATATTTTTAAGTTCCTGGGCAATATAATTTGCTGTATGGCGATTTTCTTCATTTAAAAATTTGTAGAATACTGGAACAGGCGTCATCACCATAAAATTAATAATACTCTCGTTTCTCATGTTGCTCCAGCCATGATCTATTATATTTTAACTCTCGCCTTCATATCTCCTGACGCTTTGCCTAAAAGATATCCAGCGATCTGACTTTGCCTGGGTAAAGTGTAAATAGGACGTATTTCTTTTAAAAATTCTTATAGGGATTTTCAAGGTTGTAGAAAGGTAAATTGCTTGCATATACAGCCTTTGAAAACAATTGATCGAGCTAATTTTTAGGATTTATTCTATCTATAAAACCGGTTATACAAGATTTAGATTTACAATTAATTTTGCATAGATTGATGAGAGATAATTTAATCAAATTCTCCTAAGTCATATAGCAAAATACCATCAATTTGATGATTATTCTCACTAATTTAACATATATCTTCATCAGACAGCTGCTTAATTAATGCTTGACCATTCTATCACGTGGGTAATATAAGACATCTTGCAAAACCTGCATAACTCTTTAACTGATTTACCATTGCGTACTTCTTGAAAATGTTTCTAAACTTGATGATTTGGTTTGACAATATTCCATAATATATTAAAATCTAACTCTAAAATATTTTGATTATTGTATAGTTATCAATCTTAATTATGTTATAATTATCGACAAATTATTTCATTAATTTGGTTTAATATTATATAAAATATTAAATATAATATACAACCTTATACTAGAATTGAATAAATTATTTTGTAAATCTGACCTAAAAAACTAAATAGGAAATTAATTTATAAATTCAAATATAGAAAAGTAAAATAAATGAGAATTAATATAATTTATACTTGGCTAAATTTTAAAAAATTTAAATTTATTAAAAAAATAAACCATGATTTAGCTAAGTTATTATATATATTTATTTTAGTAATAAAAAAAAATCTTGTTTTTAAATTACAAAATGAAAGTCTAATATTTTTTAATACATTTTTTCATTACACAAATATATTTCAAAATAAATTGGAACCTAATAAGATTGATAAATTTTGCTTTTAATGCATACTAGTTAATTATATCAAAATATTTATCCGCCAATAATATTTTAGAGTATTTAGAATCAAGTACTCCTCCTGTCAATTGACAAAATTTGACCGTCAATTGATCGACTGCCAACCCTGATTACATTACAATATTGATGTTTAGGTTGTATGAATTATAAAAATAAAAATACTAATTTTTATATTTTATACAATTCGTATATAGTATATAATTATTTTAGCAAATGCTTAGTTATATCCCGATAAAAATAATAATTTAGTATAATATTAATTTTTTAAGCGAAAATTTATGATTTCCTCATGAAAAAAGCACTATTGGCTTAGCTTTGGCGGCCACTGATCTTTTCGACTTCTATTCATAGTTACTCGCGTTTCTCTTTTTATCATTAAATTATGCCATCATTTATTGATTGAGATACAAGTTCCTTTTTGGCGCTAACTTTATAATTAGAAACTAAATAGCTAAAGCATATCCCAAGCACAGGATGCTCAATCAGGGTGGTTTGGGCCATTGAAAGTATAAAGTTGAGATGATTACACTTTTTATACTTAGAGTCAACTTTTGAAGTATGTAGTATCTTTCTCCTCGGTCCTAATAGAAATCCGGTTTCCCAACTCTTTAAAAAAGGTATTTAGCGAGTTTATTCGCCTCGGTGTCTAGTAGAGCATCTCTATTTATATTTGAAAGGCAAAAGGATCAATGCATGAAAAATCCCAGGTTAAGAATTTCTCCCTCTCCAAGGGATACTATTTGATTTTAGTAATATAAGAATTCAAAATATTATAGAAATCTTTGAATTGAAAATAAAATATAAGGCTGTTCTTAAATTCTTATAAATTTATTATATTTAAATAAAGTTTGTTGAAAACATCAAGTAATTTTATATAAATTTGTAAATTTTGAAGAGTAAAGGAACTTTCTTGCACATAGACAAAATATTCTAATTGATTTTAATATTAATTAATAATTAGTTTAGTGCTATTATAATATAAATAAGGATGTTATTTGAAAAAATATTCAAAAATTTATATAATTGTGACTTCAAAGATTTCAAATTTTCCAGCTTAGAACTAATGCCTGGGATGCTTGCATTCGTTTTTTTAAAAAGCTTGATTTAAGTTGTTTAAATCGATTTTATTAAGATTTAGCCAAAATAATATTATGCAAGTCTAGAGATATGGCATATAGAGGTCCAAACCAAACCTTGTCATCTATAAGGAAAATTTTAGGCTAAAATATTATTATGTAAGCATCAGGATTTGGCAAATAGAAGTCCAAGCAATTTTACCAGCTATGAGTGAAATATTTTGCCTTACATAAAATTATCGGGCTTTTTAACAACACTAAGCTTTGGTGTATAATCTATTATATAACGCTCTTTGCTAGAATTTCTTAACAATAGAAATATATAGAATATGTTTTATATTATTATATATTTTTATTTTATATAATAAGTATCATAATTTATATAACTTTATTAAAATAATTTTTTAGTGGAGTTTAAATAAGGTGTCACGACATACGGTTTTAAACGACACACATTTTGTTAATGTAATAATTGACAGAAAAATATCCAGGACATTAATATTAAATTTATAATGTTTGCTGAATTCTTTATTCTACCATAAAGTAGTCACATTTTTATTTACGTGGGAATTAAATATTTTAATCTATTACCTATTTTATTACCTTGAAGATAAGTTTAATATTACTTGTAAACTCCTATATATTAATACATTAAGACTCATAATATAATTATTTATCAAAATGATAAAAAAATTTGGTCGCCTTAATTGAATGCATTACATGACATATATTTAGTGATGTGTTTATTATATTATTTATTTATTTATTATAAAATTTCTAATGCTAAATGTACAGTGTATTATTGATTATTTTAATATAGTATTAATACTAAATTTTACTTATTCTATATTTTAAACTGATTTTGTTTATTTAAATCTTGTAACTTAAATATGAGAAATAAATGCTTGAAATAATATTTAAAAATTGGATCATAATATGGTGTTTTTCTTTGTAAAGAAATAATGCTTGACACTTTAATTGTCTCAATAATTAAAAGTAAGTTCTGGGTCAGGTTTAATACGTAAGAATTGATGAATTTATTTTTCATAAAAAAAAATCACAATTTTTGATATAAATGCACAATTAAAGTCTGTAAAATATAGGTTATTTTAGTACTTTTACAAAAATATAAATTACATGGTGAATGTAAACTATATTGTAAAAATAGTTAAAACATAATATATAATCAAAATTATACATTTTATGAGTTATTCATAGATACTGTTTAAAAAATGATACCAGCCTACTCAAATATTGATATTTTGAATGCAACTTTATATTGTTTTACTTCATAAAAAATTATTACAGACCAGGCTAAAGTTAATACATTTTATGGATTAGGAAAATAAATGTGGCTTAGGCATAAATCCTGATAGTTAGCCCACATTAGAGATCTGCAAAGTTAGGCCCGGCCTGTACCCAGCCTGAGTCAGGCCCGAAGACCGTTTGGGTTGGGCCAGGTTTGGGCTTAATTTTATTTAAAATAATTGGGTCTGGGCCAGGCCAGGCCTTATATTTTTAAAATAATTCAGGCCTGGTTGGGTTGGACCTTGGAAATTTTTAAATATATCTAAATTTATCAAATTTATATTATAATTTTTTATGTAAAATAAAAATTTTTGATTTTATTTATTGAAACTAAACGCCATATAACATATGTCTTTTATTTTGAGTAATTATAAAAATTAATTTCTATATTTAAATAAATTCAAGTCGGGCCGGCAAATCTTTTTAAAAATAATTTGGGTTTAGGCTGGGCCAGCAAAACTTTCTTAAAAAAATTTTGGGCCGGACCGGGCTTGAAAAATTAGGCCCGATGCAGATCACTATCCCACATTATCTCTAATTATGTCACACATTGTTATTAGTAAAAGATATAGAATATGAACAAACATAAACCACCATATCACCCACATGGAATGGCATCAATATTATCGCAAATTAGAATTCTGCAAGGCCATCTTATGGATCAGGAAAGACTGGGCTGGTACTAACATCACTAATAAAATAAAACCTGCCCATGTCACAAAAATATTAAGGTTATATTATGTTCCAATTATTTCTTTTTTTTTAATGCTTGAATGTCACAATTATAAAATAAATTTTAAAATAATTAGGAAGTAAGATATGTTTTTACTATTTATTTTAATTTCATATTTTGCAATAAAATAAAGTAAAATATTAGTATAATGACATTAAAATGGGAGAATAAAATAAAAATTTTGAATTTAAGATTTATTTCCTAAATGCCTCTTTTTTTAAACTGGGCTACAATGGGTTATGGGCTAAACCAATATCTAAATTTAAAAAATGAATTGGTACCAGCCACAAGCCAACTTTGGTGGAAAAATTTTAATATTGTGTGTCTCCAATACAAACAATATTAATCATTAGATATCATGATGAAATTTTTTTGATAAAATTTCATTTTAAATTTGCAACCCCTTTTGAAAATAAAATAGCACCATATTTGTAAAAAAAGTATGATAAAATAATGTCATGTTTGAAAAATATCATGGGAAAAGGGATCAAAAAATTTTTTATTGTTTATTTGCTCTATTTTCTTAAGTATAAGAAAATTTCAGTAAATTTCTTAAAAACGAGTGTATTTTATCATATCAAACAAAATTTGAAGGTTGTGATGCATATAAATTTCTAGTATTATAAAATATAGAGCTGAGATAATATGAATTATCGAATCTAAATGTTAATGCAAACCATTATATACTCTATTCATTAAAATGGGTAACCCTCATTGACATACATAATCAATCACATTTAATAATTTTACATTTAATCTTGGGGTTCTAGAAGACTCTGCTCTATTCATACCAGGAATTTCAGCCGAACCGTTTTTACATCTAAATTTTGTCACCTGAATCGAGCCTATAGAGAGGTTTGTCAACTAACTTGAACTTCTAATTCTTTTCAAGATAACAATCAGTTTTGATTGATTAGCATCTAACTTTTTTTTAGATATTTTTGTTGCCATTTGACGGTATCAGCTAGCCAATCGTATAGAAGTCTTCTAAACTAGGCGTATTGCAAATTTTTCTTATAGTGGGAAAGTAATATGTCTTAAATTTTATTGAGGGTCCACTTTTTGTGGAATTTGGTTATGTTAATCCGGCTTTAAGGGTTTGTGTTGGTTCGGATCCTTGATTTATATTCATACCTACCTATCACAAAAATAAGTGAGCTTAGAGGATAGCTATTATATTTAAAAAAAATTATATCGATCGAAATATCATATCGGTTTTTATAATATCGAATTGAATCGATTAAAAAAAATTATCGATTGACGCAATCTCGATTTTAACATTTTAAAATAACTAGTTTTCTTTAATAAAAAAAATTAAGTACACGGGACATTTTAATGCGGGTTGCTTCCGGTCTGGCGATGGCATCTCCATTGGTCAAGTGTTCTGGGATTTATATCAGGAATAATAAATTCGATCATATTACGTCTAGGATAATTAAAATTTATAATAAATAAAACAAAAGCTATTTATTATTATTTTTTAAAATAATGACATGATAAAATAACATATTCACAAAGCTCTTTTTTTAAAAAAAAAATAAATATAAATGCCCTTTAGGAATATTAGTTGCCTCTTTATATCTTTTTTCCATTTATCAAAGTAATAATATCATATAATTTAATTTTAAAATATAAACCTTTTACAGGCCTTTTCGACTATTTTATCGATATCAAGTTGATATCGCCCGATCACCGATATCAGCTGATTCGATTTTTAATAATAACTTTGTGAGGATGAAATGTTTACATGGAATATGATCAAACCACAACTTGCCGACATCTAAAAATTGTTTAAAAAATTAACCCGATGCTTATCAGCCCATAGGTTTTATCTTGAAAATTTTGTTTAACCCGCCCAATTTATTATACTTTTATTTAAACTTTTAAAATAATGCAGAATAAGCTAAGGTACTGCCTAAGGTAGTATCTATCAAATTTGTATTGTTTATTTTTCATTTGGATAGGGACTGCCAAATTTATAATATGTATTTGAATAATAGTGGTTTTCGGAAAGCGTCTTTGGCCTAGTCGGCTAGAGCGCCACTTTCCGATGGCGTTCGAATACCAGCATGGATCATGTTTTTTCGTCTTGGTGGTTCCGCTCTTGGGGGAAAGATGCATAGTAGATCGCACTCGACCTTTTTTTTTAAAATAAGGGATAACAATGCAATGCAAATATAATATCTCACGCAAGTTGACCGTTTGCGTTTTGTCGTAATTTAATAAGAAAACGTAACGCATCCTTGTTTAAATTGAGGTTCATTTATTAATATCGTCGATAAAATGTTAACTAAGGCCTCATTTACAGTAAACGCGTTTTGTTCAAGCGTTGCGTTTCAAAATCAAGCCAATAAATAAGTATAGTTTATAAAAATGGAGCGTTATGATGATAACGCTATGATAAAATTTGAAAAACATACGCTACTAATTTCAAAAATTATTAACGTTATGAAAAACTAGCCGTGATTTCGATAGCGTTAAATTAGGCCACCCTTGAATATTACGCATTTATTTACTATAAATGAGTCCTAAAGATTCTAAAAAAAAGATTTGTCATTGAAAATTATATTATCGTCTGCTTTTTTATTTCTTTAATTTCTAAATATTCCATTTTGAGATATATAATTAAGTTAATATTTTTTTTTATATTACATATATATTACAAAATGAAGAATAAAAAGGTATTGAAAAAAAGCAAACCACGTTTTTTTTAAATATTTACTAATGCCAAACGTAATTTTACCAATTTAGACGATTCCTTTTAGGGTGCATTATATGTGTTTGCAACGCAGCGTTTGAAATACTCATTTTGTTTCATTATAAATGATTATTCCAAATTGATCGTTAATTTTTTTTATTTTTAAATAATCATCATAATTGTTGATATGGAAAAAAATAGTACTAAATGGAATTGATTTATCGAGAAAAAAAAATATGCAAAAAGTTGATTTAGATAAAATACTATGATACCGACGATATACTTCAATAAGATAAATATTCATATAAGGTCGCAGTGTTAAACGTTTAAGTATGTTTAACATACACGTTTAACATACAGATAATAATTTATAAAATACATTAAATATATGAGTCTTATGATATAAAATGAGTAATTATTTGTAATTTTTAATTAAAAAATCAACTTTCACATACACTCATCTATCTAAAAAATTGTATTAGAAACAGTTTTGATTCAAATTTTATTTTAAAGATTAAGGAATGGACTTCACGTTGATGTTAAATTTGTTTGATATATTAATTTTACATGTTTCCTTAAGTTGAAACTACTAGTCTTTTTTGAACCTTCCGGCACAGCTTACAACGAAATTTATACCCTTTGTTAATTTTTTTTATCAAGATTTAAATGTTTTTTTAATTTAGGAAAAGGAAATTCCATATAATTTTCCAGGGAAATTATTTTGTCAATATGATCTGTACCAAAATTATTTTCAATATCAATCTCTATCTTCGACATTTTAAATTTTTTAAAACAGATTTTTAA